AAAATAGCTTAGCTAATTTATTATTTGTCACGCCATATTTATACGACCACAACTTAAAACATATAATAACAACATGAGGCAGCTTACACACAGCCGTCAGATCTCAAACTAGACAGAACCTACGCTATGGTAACAAGACTGCTGATAAACTTACTTATATATTTCTAAATACATACATCTTATGAATAAATTACACCCAGACACAGATTACTCTCATAATTAGTTGTCCTGGACGAGAATCTAAGCCACGACTAATATTTGGACAGTTCCCAATAAACAAACTTTACATAGCCACTGAAATTCAAAAATAAATCAAAAATTACAAACAACCATACATCTCTTTTACTCGTATGAAAACTATGTTATCTCTGTCTTGCTTACTCCTGACACCGGAAGTGAGATCTCAAAGATGGCTGCGGCCGGATGTGGGAGGGGCGATTTGATTTATAGTGTAGGTGTGGTAGGGGGAACTAGTGATTTTGTAAGTGTGTGTGCACATTAATTCGTGTTCAAGTTTCAGTGTGTCAGACGGGTAGTTTGGATTTAATTATACCTTCACGACTTCGTTGGAATGGGGTGATCAGGAACGGGTTAACGTGTTGCTTTACAAGGCTAGTTTAATAACAAAAATCAATTTTTATGTTGACGTCAAATAAAGCACGTTAGTAGTCGCCCTAAATTCTTAAAATTGGTTTAATTGTAGTGCCACCTCCAAGTGATTCATAAATTCAGTAATTTAACATACGTACGTTACATGCAGGTGTCAAAAAATTCTCCATATAGTCACCTACAGGTAGCGTTTTTACATGCAATAGAACTATAGAGGACGAACGAGTAACAGTTCTCTTGATGGTAACCGACTGCCTCCTGCGATACTTACATTTAACCTTTAATTTCTTTTTCATTGTTTTTTCATTCATTGGATTAAGGAAACTTATTTTATTCAAGTGCTGTTGCTTAGATATTTTATTGTGTATTGTCACCCAGCACGCTATCACTGTGCCAACATTTTTTTTAAAGACAACTCAAACATTAGGAATATATCCTGTGTCGCGGGGGACTTTACAAACATACATGAAACGGACACAAACAACACCCAGACTTAAAACAATAATTTATGGATCACACGAAATGTCGTCTCACTTGGGGTTCGAACCCATAACCCTCAGCGCAGTAGTAAGCGGCGTGGCGACCGCTTAAACCACTACGCCATCCTTGCAGTGGCAGCGTCTTAGATGCTAGCTTCACATGCACTCCGTGTGTGTGGGTGTGGAAGATCTACCTAAAAAACGATGTAATCAATTGTGCGTCACTCAACTTTTCTTTTGAATATTTTAAATGCCCAAATTAAAATAATCAAAAGAAAGTGGTCTAAAACAACTAATAAATTTAATTGACATTTATTATATTTAAAATCAACGACGATTTACTATTTGCCGTTTGCCAGGAGACCTTAAGCACATTGGGTGACTCGAATAAAGTAACATAACGGCTTCACAGAAAACGACATAGATAAACAAGGTTACTGGCGTTCAAACCCTCACGCCAAACCCAAACAGTTTTTTTTTAAAAATAGATTTCCAAGTTCTTTTTTGAAAGATTAAAAAAGAATATAATTTAAAAATGGAAGAGACGAACCCGCTCTCTGTCAGTAGTGCACATCTGTAGCTGAAGTTTTCCCGTAAGAGGTGAGGGTGGCAATAAACTCAAACGACCCACCCACCGCGAGGAGAATACAGCATGTGACATTTTTATTGGACTCACTCTCCATTCTTTTTATGTTGCGATTTATTCGGTTATTGGTGGGAGGTTTCACATAGAACTTTCAAATTACTTTGACTTCTAAAAGCTTGAAGTTCATTGGAGTTATTATTGTACTTATATGACTTCGGAGTAATCGGCTTTAGTACTTTAGCCAAGTTTGGAAAGCTGTGTAGGTCTCCCTTATATCATCATCTTTTCTTAAATGATTTTAGTGAAAAGTTTTATGTTTTATTAAGAGTTTTGGAAGATAAAATGTTGTGATATGAATATAGAGTATTTTTTTCTCATTGTCGTTTCAGTCTGCGGAAGACATCCATTTAGAAATTATTTTTCATTTAATTTGATTTTATGCTGTTAATTGTATGATAAGCACTGTCATTTGTTCTGTGTCTGGGTGTAATTTATTTATACTATGTATATGTGTGTATTTAGAAATATTTAAGTATGTTTATCAGAAGTCTTGTTACCGTAGTACAGGGTCTGACTAGCTTGGGTTTAGCGTGTGTGAGTTGTCTGAAGTTCTTATTATTAGTAAATTTAAAAACTATATTAAATCGATACTTTTTTTTCTACTGGTAGTATAACTTTATAAGAGTCTTCAACTCCTCCTGATAGTTACGTTTTAATGCCATACATATCATGGTGGGTCCATCTTTGTCTGCAAATTTTATATAATTTTTGTCTAAATAACGATTAACGATAGCATCGATTCGATTAAAATACCGATTAACACATCATTCGAAATATCAACATCCTCTATCCGTTTTCCACAGCACTTACCTTATTCTCGTCATATAAACTTGCTTACGTCACACACTCTCTATATCTCCTCTCTCGATCATACTATAGCTCCCTCACATTTGATTGAGTGGGACAAAATTAATATACGAGTAGTTCCATTGACAGAAGGTTTCTGGGCCACAGACGCTTCATAAAAGATGCCTTTTTTGTATAGAAATATAAATAACATTTTGTAGATCCTTTACTAAATTATACTTATATGGTCTTTGAGATATAAAGTTCTTCATTTTGATGGATAGGTTGATCGAGATGTAGAATGTTTTGTATTGTCAAACACGAATCCACCTATAAGATAAAGCAATCGTCAAAATAAGTGTGTAATCCGTTTTATTATTCATAATTTGTAACTAATAACTAACAAATTAACTAGTAAGCAAAACTGGATGTTTGATGAAAAAAACTCAATATTATTAACCTAATTCAAAAAAAGAGGAGCTTTTCGCCAGCCATTATTGAACCGATTTTTTTTTAGAGATAATTATATTTTATTTCAAGTGGTATACTTCCTGTTTGGTCCCATTCGAATTTGAACTAAAAATTCAACCCCTGAGGGTGAATATTAAGGGATAAAGAATACTCACAGTTTATTATGATTCAACACGATGTAGACGCATTGATAGGATTCCGTCATACTTTTTTAAATTATTGATTTTACCAAACTATGTATAACTAGCTATTGTTATTTTATTATATTCCTTATTTCGTTTTTCTAACTTTAAAAGTGACGAGCTTTCATACAACAACTGGCTGCACGGATGGCGTAGTGGTTTAAGCGGTCGCCACGCCGCTTCCTATTACGCCGAGTGTTGTGGGTTCAAACCCCACATGGAACAACACTTTGTGTGATCCACAAATTGTTGTTCTGAGTCTGGGTGTACTTTGTATTCGTTTCATGTATGTTTGTAAAGTCCCCCGCGACACAGGATTTATTCCTAGTGCGGGAGTTGTCTTTTTAAAAAGAAAGAAGAAAGAAGAAAAACCGAATATCCCTTATTTTACCCTTAGGGGTCAAATTCCCTAAAATTCTTTGGCACTACCAAAGAATTTGCTGTTTAAAACATAAAATCATCAGCTGCCGAAATGTCTAGTTTGTAGCCCCAGCGGATTAAGCTCTGCGTTGATGAATCAGTCAGCTGACTGAATCATCATAACTCTTGCCGTTCATGGGCGGCGGTAGTCACTTTCCATCAGGTAACCCGTCTGCTTGTCTGCCCTCACTTTTATAAAAATACTAATTCAAGGTCTTCCCAATGGTCCCGCTATTCCCGAAATGTGTTTATTTGAAGTTACCTGATAATTAAGAAATTTTTAGGTTTTAAAACGATAAAATATATATTCGTTGCACCTCGCCGTAAGATGCTGCGTTATTCTGCTGAGAGACTACCCTTGCTATTGATCTGGTGAGAGGGGATTTCAAAGTATAGTCGGGATTGACCTGAATATGCCTTAGATAGTGTTTCATGTTAGCTTTAAACGCGTTCTGATAAGAGAATTGTCGAATATATGCATTTGAACGCCTACAAAAATAATTTAGCAACATCTTGTAAAATGGACAATAAATTATATATTCATACAACTAATCATCAATAGCTTTTAACTGTCCACTGCTGGACATAAGCTTCTCCCTAGAAAAGAGGTTTTGGCCTTCTACTGCAGAGAGAAGGAAAACTTCATACAACTAATAACATATTAATATAACTTAAGCCATCTCACATACGGCGTCCTGATCTCATATTAGGCAGAGCCTGTAAGGTGTTAAGAAGACTTCTGAAAAATATACTTTTTTCAGTAAACACATACTCGTACATACGTATAACTGATAAATCATACCCATACATAGAAGAAATAATTGTTCTAGTTACGCATTAGAGGAACCCATATGTCCCAGGAGTCGACGACAAGCCGGAATCTTGTGATATGATCTGTAATAATATTTAAAAGAAAGCCTATTAAGAAATCTTTGGTATGTAAAAATTACAGGCATTTAAAAAAAAAACGAGAAAATCTACATCCTGTGACGGTCTTTTAACTCCTGTTGCTACAAATATTAACTTTTTTTAATTTTCCTTTTATTATGAAATCCTGAAAACTGTTGCTTAAAATTCACAGCCAACTGCTTTAGTCCAGACTAACTACTATTCGATTAGAAGACTTATTTCTCATATTTTTTTCAATATTCTTTGAAGAAAAACAATCAACATAACTTAAAAAAAATAGACATATTCAGAGTCGTGAAGGACTAACAAACGCACACAAATAACATTCACGCTTAGATCGACAATTTATGGATCACACAAAGAATTGTCCCAGGTGGGGATCGAACCCAGAACCCTCAGCGCTGTCTGAAACTGCGAGGAGACCGCTTAAATCACTACGCCATCCGTGCAGTCGTTTTACAAATAAGTTGAGTATTAATACCCAGTATTCTTCCACAGCTGTCCAGAATGAACGCCAGCCCCGTAACACAGCCACAATCAGACCCGAAGCCCTGAGAGATATGGATCAAGAGAGAGCTCTCAGAGAAGCAGCCGTCGCAGTAGGTGTTTTTGGGTAAGTGGAATAAAGAAGGCACTATTTATCTTTCTATCTTTGTATTAATTTTAAACTTCATGTTTTTCAACGGACTAATTTATATAGCTAAATATTAAGTTAAAAATAAATAAATAAATAATGTAATAATAAATAATAACATATAATTAACTTCACCCATCTCACATACGGCACTCTGATCCTAAACAAGGCATGTACTACGGTAACCAGACTGCTGATAAACATACTTTACTATTTCTAAACACATACATTCATATTTTAGATAAATACACCCAGACACAGAACAACTGATCATGCTCATCACAGAAATATTTGTCCAGGGTTTGAGTCGAACCCACGTCCTCCGGCTTAGCAGTCTGGGTCACTAACCACTAGACCCACTGGCTTGCACCTACTATTGTATATTGCCAATATACCTAGTGTTTAGAAATCACAATGTTTAAAAGTTTAGTAAATGCTTTTTTGTATAACCTACATTTAAGCAAGAGCAGGTGCAGGAGCAAGGAGCAAAAAAAGCACTAAAATTCGCCACATATATTATAATCCTCAACGACAAAGCATATTGCGGATGACTTAACAAAGAAACCCCACACATATCGCACAGAGCCTTTCCAAGAGACAAGTCAAAGACAGTGTTAGATTCACTAGCTCGTACTACAGAATCAACTGATAATGAAATAAATCTGACTGCTTTAACGCTGCCTGTTATATATTATGTGCCTTTGAACATACACCATAAAAATAAAATACATAAACTAATCGTCATGCAATAAGGTATAAATATATTACTGCTCAGTACAAATATGTAGGCGCTTTCATTCATCCACAGCCTTTACTAGTCCACTGCTGGTCATAGGCCTCTTCATAGAAATAAGGTTTTGGCCTACTATTTGGCGCTTTTATTATCTATTATTATTATTATTATAAACAAAGCTGAAGATCAATTTAATTGTAGAAGATGCAAAGATTTAATACATGAATACGAACTTTTTAAGGCAATTTTACACACGGAGGAATAGAATCGCTATGAAATGATATTTAAAATTATACAGGTCATGATATAGATTAAACATTGAAAAAATAAGCTTAAAAATACTTATCTAAATAGCTGAAAACACAAAACTGCAATACGTAAGTAGTTCTCCCTTGCTTATTAAAACAATTTGGACAAAGGCAAACGTTAGCGTTGTAAATACAAAAAAAATGCAACAGTTTTGTTTCTTGTAGGTTATTAAACAATAAGTAATATATATTTGTGTATACGAGTACAAACCAATCTGAAGTAATTTACATTATCAATCTATTAGAACTTTAACATATGAACATCCTGTAACTAACATAGTCAAGCGACTGCCTGAAACACAGGTGTCACACCTAGCTCAGGCCGTTTGCAAAAGAATTTGGAAGATTATTTTTTTTAATCTTTATATTCAATCTTGCACATTTTAGAATAGTCATATACTAGTTTTATTAACAAACTTTATATAAGAATCTATTGACAATAAGATGAAAATCATATACAAAATGTAACCAAGACTTTATTCTGATTCTGCAAATAAAATTTATTTTATTTATTTTATTTTACCTATCTCTCTTATTGACTCTGCATCTTTACTTTATGGTGACGTAATATGAGTACTACGTAACACGCCACCTTAAAACCTACGCAATTAAGCTAAAGTTGTACTCCCCGTACTGTTTTATTAAATGGCAATTTTAAATAGCTCTCACATCTATATTAACATAGAATCAGTCTAATAATAGTCGACTGACGTCAGTCCATCCAGCCGTGACGATCAAGCCTCACGTATGATCAAAGGTTGTTCTGCGGTGTTTGGTCAAGTTGCCTGACGTTCAGTTCAGGGTGAATGGCTTTGAACGGACGCTGTTGCGAGCCTACTTGAGCATGGGTTTTTAGTCGAATGGATACGGCAACATAGATGATTACCTTGTAAATAGAAGCAGTCCTTTTATGATTATATTTCTAACAAGGAACATTATTTTAGCCATTTCCGTCTCGTTCTTAGAGATGTAGTTTTTTATTTAAATTTGTAGAACACTTTCCTTGAACTAACTTTCTCTTATTAAATACAAAAGTAGTAAAGTGAGAAAAATGAAGTGGATTGTTTTCGATCAACATGCATAAAAATACTGAAATCCTCCTTTTTTGTAGTCGGTTTTACCGTCTAATTTTAATAAAGAATGTATTTTTTTTAGGTATTTTCGTAAGTATTTTATTGAATTCATAAAAGCAAAACGTTTAAATTCCTAAATAAAAATGGCGTCTAATGCTATATTCCGTGTCAAGTACTTCTCTAAACAGGTCGACCGATAGACAAACAAAAAGAATTAGGTTTTCAACCCCACCGCTAAAGCATATAACTCACAAAAACCACTCAATTTAATTTCCCTCACCAAAACACTTTCTATAACCAAACTATTTCTATGTCACCTTCGTTCCCCTTGAATATAAAAAATCTATGAATATTACATTAATACCATAACGTTATACGGTACATGGCAGTGCACTAAGCCCGATTGCCAATCCGAAATACAGAACGCCATAACACTGGCAATGAATATAAAGTTACGGGGTAAAAATAAGTGATATTTATAAAGTTTTGTTATAATTTGATTTCTTTTTAAATCGCCGTATTCATAAGAAGATATATAGTAACTTAATTTTATTAGATTTGAAGCATATTTAATAACTCATTGAAGAATATTTCTTTTCATTGCAGAGATCTATCCATCAAAGTATATTTATATGTGAAAGCTGTCGAGTGTTTTAGAAACAAAATATGTTTTCTTCTGTCTGGTGTGAGTGATGAATCACGTTACAGAAAGAGATGATTGTTAACAGCCATATTGGGCCTCTATGGACTATTCATTACAATTAATTTTGTAAATTCAACACTGTAACATTTTAAATGTTGCAATCGTTGCCAACTTTTGATTTAAGATTCTACTATCTATTTAAAAAAAATGGAAAAATATACTGATGCAGTTACATTCCAGCATGCGTGTGGTGACGAATTAAGAATACGGAGTTATATTCATCCCGTGGGTACCGTAAGAGTCGACTAATTGAGCAAACTATGCAGGACAACAACACTGGAAAGAGAAGAAAAACTTGAAACAAACTGAGGCCTATGTCCAGCAGTGGACTATTAAAGGCTTTTGATGATGATGATGATGAGTTACATTCCCAAGGAGGGCCGGTGTTAGGCAGGTCATAAAAGAAACTATCCTAAACCCTTTACCATCCAAAAAATAAATGGAATAAGGGGGTTAATGATGATGATGATGAGTAGTGAGTTCAGATAAGGAGCCGCAAGCGGCACAGCTAGTCAGTAGTCAGTAGTATCTAGTCAGTACAAGGCTAAGGAACTGAAAACAGGAGGAAGAGAAGTAAAAGTATTGGTTTCAGAGCAAAGCTACATCAGCTACTATAATAATTAATGACGACCGGATGGCGTAGTGGTTTGTGTAACGGACTGCTATTCCAAAGGTCACGGGTTCGATTCCCGCTTAAGTCAAACATTTGTGTGAATAAACATTTAATGTTTGATTTGGTCTGAGTGTTTCTATGTATAATATGTATGTATTTACGAAAAAAAAGTATATATGTATTTATATCAGTTGTCTAGTACCCATAGTACAAGCCCTGCTTAGTTTGGGACTAGATGACGTTGTGTGAATGTGGTAAACAAAAATATACGTTAGCATTAGATTCATTAACAAGTTTCATATTTTAGATTAAAACATATTGTGCAATTTTCTATTATTTTCTACAGGCCTCCAGTCTCGTTAGCTATGGCGCTATCACCAGCACGTTATCCCCTCCTATCGCCGCACTACGCGCCTCTGCCACCGCCACAACCACAGCAACCAGCGCAACCTGACTCCTCGCATGACCATCATGACGAAGGGAATACCCACACTGACAGCGATGGTAAGATTTCCCATCTGATTTTGACATCAATATCTTCAAAATCCTACCAAATCCTTTTCATAATCTGGATGAAAATTATTGTTTTTATCATTTTCTGAACGATATATCAATGATATTGTCCATTTATTTTTTGTACACAATAATGTTTACGAACTCCGGGAGAAGATGCAAGCAAGAGTGGTTTATACACCGGTGTCCTTCTTCTTTTGCCTAAGGGTCGAGAGATGTATTAAATTTTAAGAGGTTGATGAGTATTGATCAACCCGGGAAAAAAATAATTGTGGCAAATAAAAAGTTAATATGTCCAAAAAGACTGTGGAAGCTGTGAAAGTGTCAAAAAAATAGTGCCCAAATGTTAACCACTGAGCACTCACACTAGCAAGGAACTATGGCAGTCTCACGATTGTCAAACGTAATTTTCACGCACACCAGCATATAAAATTTAGCTTGTTTGTAAATAATCTAAGCTCAAAGAATGACTAGCTATGTGCATGTTACAGATGACAGTATCGACGTGACGAATGAAGAAGACTCCACTTCATATTCCCCACCAGCGGCGATGGATTACCGTCAGAGCTGTACCACTTACAGGTATGTCTTAACATAAAGATTCATCATCAAATTCCACTTCTTCTTTCTACTCCCATGAATTATTTATATACAACAGTCTGTTCACTACATTTTGCTCATGGCATACCTCATCAGAAGTCCACACCATAATAGACTAGTGATAGGTACTTACGTATAGTACGTATTAGCTTCAATATAATTGCTAACTATTACAAAGAACTGCTACTACTATCCTCGACTGATTTCGGCCACGGCGACCTCTACAACTTCGTTCGAATTGTCGTTGGTGTGCTCGTGTGTGGATAACATATCCGATCTTATAGATGAATGTACGCGCACAATGCGGGCAGGTGAGCCTACCATTGCAGTAGTTGTAAGCGACAGCACAAGGTGGACGTGCTTTTAGTTCATCGCGCCGAGCATCCAGTTCAGAGCAGCGATTGTCTTCAGAGTCTTCGACTCTGGTTTTCATCAAAGACCTCTATTCTCATCGGCGAGCAGCTGATTGCTCCCACCCTGAACTGTTCACTCCTTAAAAACAATGATATACTTACACAATAAAATTAAAATAAATAGCAACGACCTTAGATTGATTACGTTTTCACTTTATGTAACTTCCTAAATTATTTTAGGGTAATAAAAATTATCAAATTTTTAACCTTCTTTGGCAACTAAAACACTTTGTAACATTGAATTGAATTAAGTACCTAACTCTAATTATTGCACTTTTACTGATTAACACGTATAAAAATTGTTAAGTTTACCTAAGAAGCATTTTTATACCGTGATTCAATCTTCAGTCCTGAACCTGTCCACATCACACACATCACATCAACAGCCATTAATAGTCCACTGCTGCTTGCACTGCAAAGAAATCAGCACGTTTAAATTCACGAAACCCATAAGTAAGTGTTGCTAATACAGGAACAGACTCCCCAAATGTAAATAACTCCCCTCGTATATCTTCGTGTGATTCTTTGAAGGTTAACATCGTTAATAATCATAGCACAAAAAGGAAGTTTTTGGTGCTAGGAACCTTCATTAGGGCAAAACAAAAAAGAGAGATTGATTTTTAAATAATACCTATTTAAAAAAATACAATAAATTTGCTAATCATTTCCAGCAAAGATATATTTTTTTATGGAAGAGGGGCAAACGAGCAGACGGTCACCTCATGGAAAGCAACTACCGCCACCCATGAACGCCTGCAACTTGAGAGTCACAAACACATTGCCGGCTTTGAGGAAGGAGTAAGCTCTTTTCTTGAAGGTTTGAAGGTCGTATCGGGCCGGAAATACTAAAGTAATGTGAACTCAAACTACCCGCTAATTCGAAATAGTTGCAAGAAAAAAGAGATTGTATTTATTCTGTAGCTAGTATTTTTTATTTGGATACATAAGACAACCTAGGTATGTCTATGTATCCAAATAAAGTTATCTGGAGTCTTGACATCCCTGTAGAAAATTAAAAAAAAACAATAGATTTTTTTTTTAAATGTTTAAATATAATTAAAATAAATAGAAAACTTAAAAAAGATTGTATATTTGCTTTCTCCCCATTCACTGACTCAGACAATGTTCATTATTTCCAGGCCACTGGGCGTTGAGAGCGCAGCGGAGTCTGCCGCGAGGCTGCTTTTTATGGCTGTGAAATGGGCCAAAAATTTGCCGTCTTTCGCCAGCTTAGCCTTTAGAGATCAGGTTTGTATTTATATTTTACAGTTTATACTTATAGTTTTAGTGCATGGCAAAGGTTTACTTAACAGTTCATTTATGGCCCTAAAGCTGGCCGTCGGGGTAGTTTTTAATGAAAATACCACATACGTCTCAAGTCCTCAGTCTCAGCCCTCAAGAAGCCGGAGATCCAAAGGGGTTTACACCCGTCACTAAACGACTTCAAAAAAAGAGAATGTTCTCGATTCGGTTAGTTTTTTTGTGAACCGATTTTAAAACTTATTTTTTTTCCATTTAGATTGTAAGAAAAAATTCCTTTTCTAAGACAGTGAAGTCGGTGATACTTTATCAAAAGTAGATTATTTTCATAATAAATTGTAATAAGCTGTATTCTCAATTGAACTCGAGGTGACTTGTTTAAGTTTCCACGCGTTTAATAAACTCTGTCAGGATCTTGAATATTGAACTGAAGATGCAGTCTATCTTCTGATGGAAGTAGTAATATTTACAACGACATTATATTGCAGGTGATACTTCTAGAAGAAGCTTGGTCAGAGTTGTTCCTGCTAAATGCTATACAATGGTGCTTGCCACTCGACGCTGCCTGTGCCGCACTGTTTGGCAGTGATCAAATCGATCAAGGTGAAACTCAGCACATCCACTTATAACTGCATTATCACTTAACTCTGCAGTCCTATTTAATAATATCTAACACTGTTCTTAAAATCAGGCGGTTCTAGATTAATGGCCTCATCTCATAATCAGATGAACCGTTTCTTTTTATATCGGAACGTATATAAAACCTGAAGAGAAAACAGTTAAGAAACGTTGGCTTCTTTAGCTTTCAAATAATGATATGACTATAGCTAATCAATAGATTAGGTTTACTTTTATCAAATATTTTAATGTTTAATATAAACGCTTTGTTATTTCCAGAGAACGGCGTAGACTCAGCAACTTTGCGTCGATTGCGCGAAGTACTGTCACGCTACAGAACTGTGCTCGTTGACCCCGCAGAGTTTGCTTGTATGAAAGCTATTGTACTTTTCAAATCTGGTAAGTTCGACCTAACACCAAATAATAAACATAAAATACCGAGTAAAACTTAACTATTTACAGTGGCGGATTTACCATCAAATTTGGGCAAAAAAAAAATTCTCTTAGTTAAATAAAAATAACATTATATACATAGCCCTGGGCAAAAGAAACCCTATCAAATAATTTACTCGCCTCGTCCAACAACACCATGGGCCCATAGGTCGCGACCGGATTGGCAGGCTGACCCAGATACGTTAACAAGACCAGCTTCCCGCAGCACTCACAGAAACGTCCGGACGCCAATATAGCGTCGAACTCCTCCCTAAGGGGGTCTGAGGGCTAGGGCCAGCACTCGGGCAGGTATCCCGTCTAGTCCGGGGGCGATGTTCTTGGTACGGATCGATAATACAGCCAGCCCTACGTCCACATCCGTGAGGAGTGTAAAATCATAACAGACGTGACGGCGCAAAGGGGTTTTGAACACGTAAAAAAGGGTATTTAATTATAGAGGTTAGTAGGGACGGCAAAAATTTAATAGCCTACTGGCAGCAAATATGAAAATCCGCCTATGATTGTTTAGGTCATAAGCAGGACTTTCAATGTGATGGAAACAATTTCACAATAATGAATTTGAATTGAATTTCATTGGAGACAAATATTTCAAACTAATACAAATGCACTACAAATATATAACTAGACTATGAATGAGATAAGTGTGTACAAAGTGTATCAGTCCCTTTAATTGTAAATTAAGATGAAGAAATGAAGATTTAGTAAGAAAGTTTGCAATTGCAATATTCAGAAGTAAAGCATAAATTAGGAAAACCTGGAGAAAAATGCAAATATTTTATTAAAGTACACTAACTGATATAAATTTTTAATTAGATAATGATCTACTATATAACAACTGCTACCTGAATTCTTACTTAGGCTCGTTAGACCATCTTCTGGGTCAACATTACTTCATAGTGAATGAATCATGTCTATTTACAGAAACTCGAGGCCTCAAAGATCCTCTCCAAATAGAAAATCTGCAAGATCAAGCGCAAGTGATGCTCATGACTCACGCCCGTACCGCCCACGGCACAGCCCCTGCAAGGTTCGGCCGACTGCTATTGTTACTGCCCCTACTTCGTTTAGTTACTCCGCAACAATTAGAAAGAGAATTCTTTGCCAAAACTATAGGTCAAACGCCGATGGAAAAAGTTTTGGCAGATATGTATAAAAATTAAATTACTGCAAATCCACTTAATAAATCGGTAACTTACTAGAGACAAAGTTTTGCAATATAAAACTTTGCAATCATACTTAGCTTCTCAACTATTGTATGACTAAGAATACTGTGTTATTATTACGTAATTTTAAAAGTTAGCTATTCCTCTTATATTGATTACATTATACATGTAATAGTATGTTTTGTGTAGTATCTGTTATTATTTGTAATGTGCCTAAGGACTGTAAATATCTAGCTAAACTCTGCAATGTTATTTATATAATAAATTTAGTATCTAGTATGTAATTATTGTATTATGAGTCGTATAATTATAGGTATTATTACACAAGTTATAAAAAAACAACATTGTGTTGCCAAATACTATGTATATATTTATAATATAAATGACACAATTTAAACTCAGCAAACTTACTTATTCGTTCTGCAGCAATCATTTAATTTAACTCTGCATTCTAGAAATGAAATAGTACCGTTAAGATTTATAAAACTTTTCGAGTATTGTACTATAAAACTATTTCTTCTATTAAATTAGATATGTAAATAGAATTGTAATTTTGTATTAACGAACATAATGGCCTCGGTTTTAAAATCAGAGATACACACCTAAGTGTTAGTAAGTGAATGTTAATTAGCATAAGCAGTTACATTTTTGCTGTAAGTAGTTATGCTAAGTTATATTGTAGAATCCGTGTGCTATTTAAAAATAAAATTAAGAAATAAATCATTTGTTTCTTATATTCTAGGTATGTATTTTTAGTACATGTACAATTTCATTATGACACATTGCACAGTTTTTGAAATCGTCAGATATAGAAACACAGGTCTACGTTATTTTCGGACCCATGCGACCTTTAAGGAAAGAGAGCGTACTCCTTCCTAAAAAGCCAGCAACGCGCTTGTAGCTCCTGAGTTTCAGGCGTTCATGGGCGGCGGTAGTCACTTTCCATCAGATGACCCGTCTTCTCGTTTGCCCCTCTCCCATAAAAAAAAAACACTGGAACAAAGAATATAATACAAATATGTTATTCACTACTCAGGTAAACACAGAATCACATTGTAATTTGTGAATCACGCTACACAAAAGACACAAATGTGACAGGCCCTTTAAGTGCTCTTCCCCTTAGAATTTGAGGAGGATGGGAGTTCCAGTAACCTCACTCAGTCGGTGCAAGGCAACAAATGAATTGCTTAATACCGGTTTTCTATCACTCCTGGCGAGCCGGAGCATGTTACCATGAATTGGTTAATTTCGGTTTTATATCACTCCTGGCCAGACGGACCATGTATATCATGAATTGGTTAATACCGGTTTTCTGTCACTCCTGGCGAGCCGAATCATATGTATCATGAATAGCTTAATACCGGTTTCTATCACTCCGGGCGAGCGGGACCATATGTATGTGTATGTGTGTGTGTGTGTGTGTGTGTGTGTGTGTGAATTGGTTAATACCGGTTTTCTATCACTCCTAGCGAACGAGCGAGTTACCGCAGACGGCGTGGGCAACCATCCAACGGCAACATTTTTAATACTCTTGAAATGCTCCCCAGAGAAATACTCTGGCCAACGACGATAAAAATGTTTTTTTTTGTTTTAACTTTGACGAACCTTTAGAATTAAATAATAATTTAATGCATTAAGATTAAATAACGTCGTTCGGGAGTACCTATTTTAAAATTTTCATCATCAATTTCGTCATAATATATTCCTTACATCATAACAATGCCATCACTACCCCTACTACTACTAATGAATTTCATCATAACCACCATAAACCACCATTTCCCTCTAATTCCTAAAGACGTGCCAATTCTTCAGAATACAACGCAATTACTTCGATCACACCACAAATAACTACACACATAATTACGTCATCGCTCACATTTTCATTTGCGTATTGTCTGTGTAAATAACATTGGTTTCCTTGTCTCTCTGTAAAGTTTTGGGAACTCATAAATCTTACGAACACAGTGGGCACCTATTCTCTAAATTAAACGAGTCTCTTAGATATTTTATAAATATGGAGTGTCGCATCACACAACATATTGACAATTTTATTTATTAATTTTGATTTTATATAAACATTGTTTATTGTCAGACTTGGAAAAATAATTTAAGTATTTTGAGCACAAACGTCCTTTCCTTCGCTTTCCGATCCGAAGAATACACTCCATAACCTTTCATTACCAAGATATTGCTGTTAGATTTTATTGTTATTACCGTGGATTCAGCCCGAGATAACACAGAACGTCTTACAAAATATAATTATGTATATATATATTGGAAGGTGTAAAAATGTGATTGCAGATCAACAATTTTGTTTTTTTTTTAATTTATTTATTATACAGGCATACATACACTTAAGTCTTTTATCATTGAACCTACGACCTCTGGTTTAGCAGTCAGGATGGCTAACCACTCATTACTCTATTGTTTGTACTGATGTTAGATTCTGTTTCTTTGAACCAGCCCATTCACAACAAACGAAGTATTTTCTCCCAGATTATTTAAATCTGTAGTGACCTGACCTAAATCAGGAAACTAATGTCAAGTGCAGGGGGCTTTTTCTCGTTTGATGCAGCAAGCTATGAGAAACAAACGAACACGTCCTTCTTCTAGGACGACAAATAACCCCTGCCTCTATATGTAACTCTTAAACATGCAATCATGAAGACTGGAGATCATTCTGCACTCTACACTAGCGCCGGCGCCTGAAGGCCAATTCTCGTAATAAAGTTCGGTCACAATTCAGTTCCGATCATCATAAAAGGTATCTTCGTAGTAAAGTAACTAAATATCCAACGTCGAATGTAATGTGATTATCCTACTGTAACCGAAAATTGCATCGGTAGTCTGATAGTTTTAGTAATACTTGACTATTTAACTACGAAAATACCTTTTTTTTTATAGTTGCGCTTCGTCTTCCGATACGTGGTCGCCACTCCAGAACTTTTTGACCCCTTTGGCCGTCTTTTCGATCAATGTTTCCCGCCCACTGCCACTTAAGTTTGGCAATATACTTTAATGTATTTTATTGTAAATAACACATAAGGTAAACATAATATACTAGTACATATAAACAGAAAAAATATCTAGTATTTAACTACCATATCAAAAGTATTAAATATCAATATTACCACATTGAGTTAAAACAACACTAGAGAAGCAAACCTCATTATCACACGTCGAAAAAAGTGTAACCACTTTTGAACTTTGACGACGTAGCTTTGATACCACTAAACATTTGAAAGTAAACATATTTATGTCTCATTTACACGCGAGACAAGAACAATACCATCGCTCGGATTAGACAAAGACAAAGATATAACTTTACGATGGTGGGCCAGTGTTGACTACCGTATGAAATTTTACCCATAACAACTAAGAAACAATTTTTTTTTTTAAACAATTTTGTAATAAAATAAATTAATTTAAATATTCTAAATAATATATTTCGAATTGAATAGAATAGGTATAAATAATAAAATAACTGGAAATATTTGGTTAAAAGGGTTTATATTCAGTGTAATATCAAACTGCGCTGTGAAGCATCAGTTTTGTATACAATTGTCTTTTAGACTCTTTTTTATAAGTTTGTGTGGATATTTTACTTTCATGATACACTCTTATTTTTACGTATGTAAAAATAATAGCATTTAATAATAAAAGTGAATGATCAACTTGTACTGATAATAAATAATCCCCAGGGTGTATTGCAAATTCTATTATAATTTAAAAAACAAATAAAAAAAAAAAAAATTATTTTTATTTTATAAAAAAAAATATTTATGTTTATTTACTTTTTTATTTTATATTTTTATGATAAACATTTATTATTATTCTCTTTATTAAATTTTATATATACATATTAATTACATTTTTAAATATATTACAAAAGAAATAAAAATACATTTAAAAATATAAAAAATAGTAGACCACCGACATCGGGTACAGGTACCAGGACACCAGTGGTTAGGACTGCAAAGATAGGAACCTACTCACTATACGAGCCGTGTCAAGGAGGACTGCCTTCTGTATCTTATTATTATTATTATTTTGTACAATTATTATTTAAAATTGATATTAAAATTAAGAAAAACAATGAATTAATTTTTTTGTACAAAAGTCTCCAGCACTGCGAGCTTGGCACTTCTGCCAAGCTCGCAGTGAACGTTCAACGGGTCCCTAAAAAAAGGGATCGGTCCAGCCCTAACAACTACCGTTCTTCCTATATTTTATTATTATTGGCAAAATGTTTAAAAACAGTATAAAGCATATTATTTCATAAATTATAAATTCTCCCACTAATGTGGGAAAACCAAAATGATTTTTTAATGGTAACACTGATTCTAAATTACAATTATCAGTGTTTTATTTCAATTATAGCCTTATTTACGATATTATCAATACAAAAACCATAAACTTACACGTGAAAAGTAATTCCGCATGATTTATTAATGTTTTGTGACCTTGAATCGCATTCTTTCACTACGCATTTAGCCATTTTGGCGATTGTTACTGTCATGTGTCGCTATGTTCAACTCGGTTGACGCCACATTGAATAATGAATTGACGTTTGCTACGCATATGCCTGTGGACATATGTGCAGTAGCAACGATTTTAGGCGGTAATTACTCATCTATGTAAGTATTATATCAATGTATTACCATATTTATTATTTTTCAATAAAGTGTATAAAAATAAAAAAACCGGTCAGGTACGAGTCGAACTCGTGCGCCTAGGGTTCCGTACCTATCCAGATTTTACGCAGATTTTCGCGAAAATTTGTAAGTACAAACATTTTTCTTAATTTTCATTTTTTTTTGTATTTTTTGGAATTATACCTTTATTTGTGCTGTAAGACCTTTCCTGTTGCCAAATTTCGTGATTCTAGGTCAATGGGAACTGCCATATAGGTTTCCGACCCAAAACCTATAGGGTACTTCCGGTTGACCTAGAATTGTCAATTTTGGTTAAAAGCAAGGTCTTACAGCACAAGT